AGAAACGCATCCTCTTCCTTAAATTCGCTTAGTTCCATCAAGCAGGCTTGCTAATATTGACAAGTGTCATTCGAAACAACAACAAACCCTCACATTTTGACAAAAAATATACTAAAAATGTCATTTGAAAAAACTGTGGCTTAGATATAGAAGCCAATTGCTTATTTCAAATCAGCGACCAAGATCCGTTTGAAAAATCTCATGTATTAGAACACGGGAGGAAAAAAATGTTCCTAAGTGTGATTTTTATTTGAAAAAACTGCAAATTAGAAAAAATAATTTTTTATTAATGTTTTGTTTGCGTAATTAAAATAATGCTATATGCTTAAATGAACTCATATTATATTTATAATTGAATAGTGGATATAGTTAAAATTTTTATATTAAGTTTAAAAAATCATTGCACTAAATTATTGTTATACAAATTAGAATTTGGACTTATCATTTTTAATTATAATGTTTTTGTTTCTTTTGTCAAACTTTATTAAACAAATTTCTAAGGCAAAAAATTATATAAGCTAATCGTTTAGATTTATAATCTAAAAAGTCAATGCTATCGTCATAAAATACAAATGGTGCTATTTACGTAAATATGAAAAGAGCAGTTCAAATTCAACTAATTGATAACAAAGAAAAGATTTTCTTACCGTAAATAAGTTTTTCATCGAAATTGTAATGTTGTACAGTGACATTTATGCGTATTATCAGTACAAAAAAAATTTAAAAAAAAAAAAGAAAAAGGAAAGAAAAAACCTAAAACTGATTTAACAACAAAAAGTAGATACCACAACTCTGAGTTCAGAGAATACGCATTGCTTTTCGTATTGTGTGCTTTTTGTCAACTAATGCGAATTAAACAATTTTTTCAACTGATGTATAGAATATTTAACTAAAATAATTTTGCACTACTGTTGTATAGGATATTTAAAAATGATGGAGTGATGTATTGGAACATCAATTTAATAAGTTAATATCTATAGCTAAAAGTATCTATATATATATATTTCTCTTACACAGCGACAAAAAAAAGCCTCATTACAACTCCTCGAATGGCAACGCTAGAAAATCGACCAATGATTGCCGCTAAAAATGTCACATGCCAAATCTAGCTTAGGTGGCTGAACATATAGCGCTTTTAAAAACGGAAACTGAAATAACCAGAGAGAGTATTCTCACCAAATGTGATCTCTTCCTATTAAGCTAGGCAGAAGTGAGTAGTCTTTGTCGGTAGATCTTTATTTTAGTATTTTGTCGAAAGCGCTTTTTTTCACGAATTTATATGTTACGAATTTATTTGACGATTAATTACAGCCAAAATTTTAACCTTTTTAAAGAGATATCAGTTTTAGAAATTTTATCTTAAGATTTTATACTATAGCATTTTTCTAATAGGCTTAACGAATTACATGTCATTTATTTGAATTCAAATTTATTTTAATGACTTAGTATTTACCAAAAAGATGTAATTTTCTTTTTTAAAAAGAGTTTTTATATGGATTTGAATAATTGTTTTGAATTCTTAAACTTTTGTGCATTTGCAATGAACCTAAGTTAGCAGCGAGCGAAGCGAGCTTGGTTTGCGAAGCAAACCATATAAGATTGCGTAGCAATTTTCAGGGGTTGGCAAGCGTTAGCGAGCAGGGGGCGCTGCCCACTAGTTTTAAAAATTGTTTTTATTGTTATTTTTCATTATTATGAAACGTTTGACATCACACAAGACATATTTATATTTCAGAATCGTTCAACGTTTAATAAACAATCTGTTTTCCGCATACTTTTAGGAAATCTTTATTTCACTTGAATATGAAGCATTTTTGCAATGTTTCTTTCGAAATATTTCATTTCAGTTGCAAAAGTAAATTTTTAAGACCTTAAATTTCCCCCTTTTATTGGAACAGCCTGTTTATATTTTAACATATAACGTGTTTCCTTTTAGAACGCCGTGACACAATGAAAACAACTAAAATAAACATAAGTGAGTTATTGATAAAATGAAAAGACTTACCGAAGGAAATAAAAATGTTATTTTATTAATATTTTCTAATTAATTAGCTTAAACGTTTGACATTAATGGGTAACTGAAAATGACTTATTGATGTTTTCATCAAATAAAAATTTAAAACACAAATTAGTTTCTAATATGTTTTCAGAAACTTTGAAGAAATATAATATTGTGGTATCATCAACTGGGGTTACTTCAATTCTTAACTTTGGATGGTTCTGGACTTAAATTATATATGATGCTAAAATATATTTTCCTCGCATCCTCTTTCAATAAAACGTAACGAAAACATGGTGGCCAAGGAATGTTTCCAGTTAATAACATTCCGAAGTAGCTTTGATTACTAATTGCAATCTATTGAAAATTGCTTTTCAACAGCCAAATTTTTGGAAGTATTTCTTTCACAATCTATTGAAAATTGCTTTTCAACAGCCAAATTTTTGGAAGTATTTCTTTCGCAATCTATTGAAAATTGCTTTTCAGCAGCCAAATTTTTGGAAGTATTTCTTTCGCAATCTATTGAAAATTGCTTTTCAACGGCCAAATTTTTGGAAGTAATTCTTTCGCATGTAGTAAATTAAGCAAAAATATACTTAAGAGCAGTTGACAAAATAAATATTTATTATTTTCCATTTTTTATTAATTCTATGCTAAGCGTTAGTTAAATTTTTAGATTCTCATTATAAAATTTTAGTAGATAATATAAATATCACCTGTTAATTGTTAGCAGATATAATTAAATAACGAATACATATATATAAGTACACGATGTTAAAGTCCTGAATACGTAGATTAAGTAGCGACACACAGCCATCTTGGTGACTGCAATTCCTTTTGTAACCGCAACTATCAGTGTAGAAGTAAGGAGCTTCTATTCTAAAGTGCCACTTTTTATTAATTAATATTTTCATTTTCTTGAAGATAGCTTAAATATTTACTATTTATTCTTTTAATTCATTTTTTTTATGAAATTATGTTTAAGTTTTATTCCGTTCAGTGAAAATAATACATTATCAGTAAACTGAAACTTTCTCATTTCGTCATTCATAATCAGCTATAACTTTTTTCTCTAAACTCTTTCAAGTGCAATCAGTTTTTTTATGAGGTTCAAAAGGTGGTATGATTTGGGATTTAAATCATTATGTACATTATTATCAGTGTTCCATGAAAAAGTTTTTTTTTTCAATAGTTCAAATCTTTTCCTTCTTAATCCATACAGATTGTCATTCGGTCTTTCATTACAAAAAATTGCTAAAGCTTAAAGAGCAAATAATTAAATTTAATGTGAAATCTTAATTAAAATTTTAAATGCGAACAACAAAATCAGAAAATAATTAAAAATTGCCGTTTAATTTTTAAAATTATAAATTAAATAAAAATGTGTTTGGCAATTAAAATATAAAACATATTATAAATATTAAACTAATACAGTCACTTCAACGCCATTATCATCTTATCGGTATTTCAAAAATAAGTGCTAATGCTATTTAATTTATAAGGATTCACTATGATTGAGATATATTAGTTGAGTATTTATAATATTGTAAGACAAATATTTTATTTCAACAAATAATTCCTGATATTTCAAAGTAAAATACATTTCAATTTTATCAATTGGATGAAGTAAAACAATCGAACTGCGAGGTATATGATATGAAAAAATATTATGAATAGATATATATTTATGAATATATTAATGAATTATTAAGAAATATATTAATGAATTAGCACAAAGGTACTTCAATTGTAATCAATTTGAATCGTTAATTATTTTATATTTTAGTTTTTGATTATGTTTTAGTTTTAATGTTAATATCATATCTTTAAAGAGGAAAATACTTGCCCTAGTTGTTAGTTGATTGAAATAGGAGCATTATTCTTTTATAAAATAAAGCAAAGCAATTCAAAATATCAATATAAACATTTATTAAGACCTTTCTTTAAAATTAAAAGCAAAAATTTCACATAAACAAATAAAATAATGAGCAATTTAAAATATAACGGGACATTTTTTTAGCAATTTCTTAATATAAAATTATATCGTATCTAGTATTATTTCCTATCTAGTATTATTTCCTTCTGCCAATTATATGCAACCATACTTTCAGTCGCTCTTTATTGCGACAGGTAAGCGATATAATTTAAAGCCTAATTTTGATTTATTAGAACACTCGAACTCAATATCCTGTCATTATTAATTTAAAAGTATGAAACAATAAGGTAAAAATAAAAGCAAAAATAGAATAAACAGATAGAGTGCAATGATATTTCACCGTTCCAACTAGTCAACAAAATGGCGACTGATTACCCATGTGATCGGCGACAGCCAATCAAATTCGAAAGGAACACAAAGGTCTCAGGAAAAAGAATGACGCTGTTCAAACTAGGTAATCAAGGGTTATACACGATATAACACATTTGTTGTTTAAAAATAAAAACCTTTTTAAAAAAGAAATTCGCGTCTTCGTTTCCTTGGTGATGGAGTCCTAAAAACAACGTCGACTAGAAAAATACTGAATTTTTCCACTTCAAGAGTAGGGAACGTTGTAGCATAATATTTATTGAACAAATATATTTATAGCACGCTTTTAAAAATTACTTATCTTTGTTTCATCAGATGAACACAATATATATATATATATATATATAACTTAG